CCCATATTTTCCGGATATCAGGCTGATGCAAGTGGAACAGGAAGGGCTGCTTAGCTGGTGGGCCCTGCCATTTGGTTCAGTAGCTTGTTTTATGTATACGCCTGGACACTTGACCCAACAGAACTCCACTTCTGTCTGGTGGATGTAACTTCCTACAACATGAATCCATTAAAAAAAGATGCAGCCACATCTTGCAGATAGCAATCCTAGGTAACTGTGCCACGGGAAAATTCTTGAATAATATCGGCTCATTTTAATAGAATCTTGAAACAACTTTGTTGTCTCTATGGTGAGCCTGGCCACTTCCCAGACACTCAAGCCAAAATACAGCAGTGGGTGAGGTGAACAACGGATGACCTGAAACAGGTGTTTTCAGCCCTTCGTGCCCAGCAGGGTTCCCCTGGGAAGATGCCCTCCAACCCATGAAACAAGGGAGTCGGGCCTTGGCACCGTCCTTTTGAATCAAGCTCTTCTTGCTGATTCGAATTCACGATGCAGGTTGGAACACTCATCTAGGTACTTAGAGGGAAGTGTAAGGAATGAAACCCTAGTGAGGGTTTCAATCTCAGGGTCATGCGTTATTGTTCCAATGACACGTGCTTAAAAATGGCGCTGTGCACTCGGCTGCCCGTCACGGTCCTGGTCCAGGCACAGCATCATTTTTTCAGGTCTTAGCTCTGCAACTTGTGGTTTCTTGTCAAACGAAGCATCAGAGCATCCCTTGCACGTCCATTCCTGCCTCTTCCACTTCCTGCTGGCTTCCTTCCTCAGAACGCTCTTTGGTACAGCTCAGCTTAAAAGTCGCTGGGTTCAGCACAGCGCAACACTTTCGTGCAAGGTGGATCTGCACAGCTCCCGCCAGGTCAGTGTTCTGAACAAAGCTGCATGATCCAGTGATCACCTCCCTTGCAGCTCTGCTGACATATGTAGTGTAGCTTTAAAAACCCAATATCAATAGTTACTTATGTATGTGATCCCAGAAGGAGGCCTTTGATTTAGGGTTATGAATCACTTCACGTGGAAGACAGTGGATTTATGCTCCGAACAGCGGAGGTATCTTATTCCTGTCCCTTGAATTATTTTAAGCGAGGCTACAATATATGGCTTCATTTCCCTCTCTGTTGAAGATGAGGCGATGCAGACATTAAGCCCATCAGAGATGGGTGAATTGTTAAAGGCTTCCAGAGTGTTCTAACAGGTTGACTTTCACATTCAGTGCAGGAAGGAAGCGGCGGGCGCTCTGTTCTTGCTTGCTCACCCCCTGGGGCTGTCTACACCACGGGAAGCCAGCTGGCCAGCCCCCTGATGAGGGCCAGCAATGCGAGTCAGGAGTTTCTGCCTCCCAAAGCTTTAGAACCTTGGTGCCAGCCTGCCTAGGGACCCGCCTGTGCCGTGAGGGCTCCTACGCAAAGGCAGAGGGAGGAGATTCGCCTTTGCAGGAATAGAAAACAAGACACGGTTCCCAAAACAGAACCGGAACACCGGCAAGATGATGGACCGGGGAGAGAAGACGACGCTTGAGATAAAATTTTAATAGAAAAAACCCACGCTTGTCTTTGCGGCCTCTTAACATTAGATTCATAAGTTTCCCACTTCTTTCTCAATCCTAGAACTTTGTGAAGCACGCAGACGATACTGGGGAATTTCTATTATCCATATTCAGAAAATAATGAAATATTTGCTTCTGTCAAGAAGGGGCTTGGTAGTTTTTGGGTGGCTTGTCCAGGAGTCCCCTTCACACTGATGGCAGTTATACCCGGTCACAAAACAGAATGGTTCCTTTCCTAGGGGAATGTCAGGCTGGAAACTCTATGCAAGGACCCGCAGCATCCAAGTCAGCAGCCCCATCCACGCCCACGCGAATGGTTTCTTCCCCCGCGCGGGTCTATCGCCCAGAGCCCAGGTGCGTTGGGTCCCCCGCGCAGTCAGGTCAGGGCTGCGGGAGACACCCTGCTGGGTGCGGAGCGCGCGCTCGCCACTGGAGGGCGTCTGGACGCTTCCAAAGAGCTCGGACGCGCCTGGAAACCGCGAGCCCAGCTCTGGAGAGCGCAAGGCAGGAAGAAGGAAGGGACGTGAGGGCCGATTTTATTCGCCGAATAAGTAGAAGGGAGAACAGGTAGGGTTGGAGCGCAACCAAACTGCCTTCCTTCTTGGAACCGGCGAGCTCAAAGGAGAGCAAACCCAGGCTGGGTGTCGGGGGACGGCGCGCACTGCGGTGCCCCCCGGGAGGGACGCGCGCCACCTGCACCAGGGTTCTAAGGACGCGCGGTCCTGGCCCCCTTCCTTCCCATCCGCAATAGGCAGGTTCTAGGCTTTTCGTTAGGAGAATGGGGCCGTGAGTGCATCGGCCTCAGGCTCGCTGCGGGGAAGGTGCGAGGTGTTCCGGAAGGGCTCGGGCTCCCGTCCTCCCGGGTTGGAAGGTTCTCGCACTAGAACGTAACCACTTCCCTGCAGTGGTTCCCCAATTGTGCCGAACGTGTCTGCACGGCCTGTCTTCCCTCCAGCTCCACTCTGGGTTTCCCATGTAGACAGACGGGCATCGCGTGGCGTCTTCCAGGTAACCCGGCGCCGCGGAGCCCGGGCGGGGAGCCACGGACGGAACAGGGGCGCACCAACGCTGGCGCGCTTCCGCCCGCCTGCCGGGACTTGGGGGTCACCTGGGGGTCCCGGGGGAGGCTTCTCGCGCGCGCCTCCTTTTCCTATCGACAGACCCTAACTCACAGGTTTTTCAAAAAAGATGTCACCTCATCCATCGGGCCCGGAATTCAGCATCCAAAGGGTTACACGTGGCCGAAGGCGCCCAGGCACTCCTAGTAATTCAATTAGTCAGGTTTCTGGGAGGTGGGGCGGGGTGGGGTGCTGGTGGAGCTGGAAACGCGGGAGGAGCGAAGCTGGGAGGAGATTAGAAAAACGCCTCTCCCCTCACCGTGGAGCAGACCAATCGGATGGGAGCAAAAAAGAGAGAGAGAGAGAAAAAATCGCGAGCTGTAAGCAAACAGCAGGCCCGGCCCTCACTGGCTGCTCCAGCCATGCACCCCCCCCCCCCCCAACAGACACACTCCTCCCAGCCCTCCCCAAGTAAACTGCATGGGGAGAAAAAAAAAAAAAAAAAAAAGCAGGCAGCCACATGACCCGGGCCGCGGCGGCCGTGCAGGCTGGGCGGGCCGCCGGCGCCTCCCCCGCCCGGTCCGGAGCTCACACCCGCGCCCGCGCCCCGCGCCCCGTCCACGGTCACGCGCGCGGCCTCGCGCTCTGGAGAGGCTGCTGCCGCCGGGTCGCCGCCGCCGGCTGTACACGCAGGTCATTAACGAGGGGGCGTGCCCGAGGAGATTTTTTTTTTTTCCCCATAAAGCATTTTTTTTTCTCTTCCTCTTCTTTTTTTTTTTTTCCTCCTCCTCTTTGGCAAAACTGACTTTTACCCCTTCCCACTTCTCGCCAGTCGTTTGGATCCCACCAGGGCTGCTCGAGTTGGTGGTGCTGCTGCTGCTGCTGCTGCTACTGCTGCTGTGTGTGGCTGCCGCCGCCGCCCTCAAGTTTTATTTTCCCGCCTGGGCAGGGCTTTTTTAGGATTCGGGTGGTGGCTTTCACCTCAGGTCGCTGCCGCCCGTGAGGAGCGAGAGAAGGAGCCGCGGCGGCAGGAGCGGGGAGGCGCCGCTCGCTCGTGCGCACTCTCTCTCTCTTTCCTCTCTGACCATTTCAAACTGATTGATGCTTCTCTACAAGTTGCCGGGCTCGGGGCCGGACACGCCGGAGTCGCGGGGACACTTGTGAGCGCTCGGCCCGGGGCTCTTCGGCACCGCTTGTTGTTGTTGTTGTTGTGGTGGGGGGAGGACCCAGGCTCGCCCCCTCGGGAGGCGCCCCGAGACTGACAGCCGCCCATCCAGGAGTGGAGGATCCGCCGACAGTGGTTATTATCTGCGCTCCGGCAAGGACGGCGTGGGCTGTGGGCACGGGCATCCCCGCTCCGCCAGGCCGGCTGTTTCTCAGTCTCCGCTCTCGGTTCTCTCGGCTGCGCCCGGCACCGGCGGCCACGGGCAGCGCGCCCGGGAGATCCCCGCGCCTCGCTCGGTGCGCCCTGCCGCCGCCGCCGCCGCCACCCGACTCCGCCGGGAAACCTGCGGCCAGACGCACCAGACAAACTTTTCTTTGAGCCTTTCGAGGCTGGACCGCTCCTCCGCAGCGCCACTGCCGACCCAGCCGTCCTAGGACGCCGCCGGCGGGCAGCGAGTGCCGCCCCGGATCCCCGCCCTTCTCGGCGCGCCGCCCCGCACCGCAGCACCTACGACTTCTCCGAGATTTCTCCCGGGGTCGCCCAGCTCCGGCACAGAGGAGGCTGCTGCGAAAGCTGGTGGTGGTTGGCGTGGGACGGGGGAAAGAGTCTTCTCTCCCTTCGACGCTCGGACTCCCCCGGAGCCACACGCCGGCGACTCCCCGGAGCCACAAGCCGCCCTCCTCCTGCAGTCGCCCCGTCGGCCGCCAAAGTAACTTGGAGCGCAGCCGGGCGCGGTGCGAGGGCCCCGGGCGGCGGCGGAACCGTGCGCAGCCCGCGGCGCCGACGCTGAGCAGGGCCCGGCGGGCCAGTGTATGTCTCCCCGCGGCCGCGGCGCGCATCTCCCGGTGACTGTGCAGCGCGCGCCGCCGCCTGCCCCGACCTGCGCTGCCGCCGCCCGGCCGGCCACTCACCTCCCTCTCCCGGGCTGACCAGCCCGCCGCCGTCGCCGCCAGAGACACCTCGCAGCACCCGTTCCTCCGCCTTCGCCGCCGCCACCGCACACACGCACGCTCCTCTCCATCTTGTGATTTTTTTTTTTTCCTACCCAACCCTCCAGTGGGGGTGCGAGTTTGTCTCGATTCCACCCTCTCAACTCGCCCCCCCCTCCACTTCACCGCCTTTTCTTCTCGGTCACTCGTCCCTCCCCAGTCTGGTGTGCGCCCCTTCCCACCCTTGCCCCCCTTCATTTCTATTTATTCGTATTTATTTGGAGTCCGCTCTTTCTGTCCCCTTTGCCTTCCTCCCTTCTTCCCTCCGGATCTCGGCTCTCTTCCCCGGAGTGGCGCGTCGGGGGCTCCGCCGCTGGCCAGGCGGGATGTTGCACGTGGAGATGTTGACGCTGTTGTTTCTGGTGCTCTGGATGTGTGTGCTCAGCCAGGACCCGGGCTCCAAGACCGTCGCCGACCGCTACGCCGTCTACTGGAACAGCAGCAACCCCAGGTAAGGCGGTGGGGGAGGGCGGAGAGCCGGGGTACCCGGACTCCGGGCCCTTGCGGAAGGGGCGGCGGCGGCGGGGACCAGCGCGCAGAGGCTGCCGGCGGCGCGCATCCCGGAGCCTGCATCACCCGGGCGCTGGAGCCGCCCGTGGGAAGCGCACCCGTCGCGCCCCTCTTTGTTAAGCAAGCCACCGCCGAAAGGCTTGGGTATCCTGAAGCTGCCCCGACTCACTACCCTTCCGGGCGCGGAGATTCGGAAAAGGGCGGGAGCTGGGCAGTAGGGACTTCTGCACTTGCATCCCGGGCCGGCTGGCCGGCATCCCAATCCCAGAACAGGGCTTGGGCGCTGGGAGCCCTCTGCGTGCGCTGCTCCCGCCCGGATGGTCTGGGGGGGAACCCGCCAAACACCCCCAAAGTTTGTGTGTGTGCGTTTTAATCCCCCGCCCCCCCCTTTTTTCCCCGGGGCGCAGAGAGAGAGAGCGCGCACCGGCTAGGGGAAGTGAGAGGGGCTGGAACGAGGAAGGTTTAGATTTTTAATTTTTCTTCCTGTTTAACTGTGAGGAAATCATTCAGCCCCAAGTTGGTGTGGGCCTGGCGCGCTTGCCTTTGCAGGGGATTTAAGCATCGCCTGCGCCGTCTCACTTCTTCCCCACCCGGTAGGTTCAGGGGGCCAGAAAGTTTGATCTAATGCCGGGTTACGTCACGGTTCGGAACAAACTGCGGAGTTTGGCCAGGGGCGGCCGGAGACCGGCGCCCGCGGCCTGGCGATGCGGAACCGGAGAAGGCGTGCGGTTACCTGGAACCATTTTTGCAGGCGTCCCCGAAACCCGCCGGCTACGCGGGAGGCCAGAGGTGGGCGCCCGGGGCGGCCTTGGTGCGCCTGCTGGACCCCAGCCAGCCGCAGTCTTCCATGGGTTCCTGGACCCTCGAAGTGGGATGGAGAGGGCATCCCTGGTGAGGTGCCGGCGGACCCCTCGCGGCTCAGAGCAGTTATGCGCCTTACTTTCTCCCAGGCCTGTGCGCAGCGGTGGGCCCTGCCGGACGCGTTCCGCTCGGCTTCCGCCGGACACAACAGAGGCCAGTTTTCCAGCTGGGGGCTGTTTTTGGTGCCCGCCTGGGAGGAAAATAGTGCGGTTGTACCTACAAACCCAGGCTTTTACCCGGTACTGCAGTGGAAGGTGGGAGGCCGAGGGATGAGGCTGTGTTGCGCTCCCAGCGCCCCTGGGGCGCCTCCTGTCCTTCCCATCCCCATCGGCCCCCCGCACCGGCCTCCCGCACCGGCCTCCAGCCTCTGCCCGACTGCAGACGCTGGATTCCCTGCTTGGGGAATGACCGCTCGGTTGAAGATTTCCCTGGGAGCAGTCTCCGAGATTGCCGAGGGAGGCTACCCCTCGCCCTGGCTATCCGCCGGTCACACCTAGGTAGTCCGAGTCCCCCACTTGTGCTCCTGGCACAAGTGCAGACCCCCCCTGAAAGTTTGCCTTAAACAACGGAAGTCTCCCGGAGGTGGGCTCTTCTTGACCTGCCAGTTGCCACTGTTAGGCATAGAGGAGAGAGCCAGCGTGCCGGAGGAGATGCCTTTTATTAAAGCTGACAAGACAAATAGAGCGAGCTTTCCTTGCAGTTGTGGTGGTGTTAAAAGCAAGTCTCATGTCGTCTGGTTTTATTCCCCTTTGGGCTTGATTAGACAGCGCCTATGAAACAGAGCAATTTCTAAATTTTAGCCCTGGTCAAATAAAGCCAGAGTGAATCACACAGTTGGATTTGGGGGCATTTTGCGTGTGTCTTTTCTGTCCCACTCCAAACTTTTCCCATTGTCATTTTTCCTTCGTGGCATTGACATTTTTCCTTGTAGACTTGGATATTCAGTCGCTCGTGGGTTAGAATGGAAAGAGGCAGAATGTAACCCCATAGTGCCAGTTGGAGGGAGTTAGTGTGGGGAGGTTTATCTCAGGATTTTTTTTAATACTGTTGTTTGGTTTGAGATGAGCACATTGCTTTTTGTTGCAGGCCATGTTTTTGGATAGACCCGCCCTGCCTGCACAACACCCCCTTCTGCTCCGGGTGTCACCATGGCTTTGAACCTGCCCAGGCAAAGTTAATCTACAGAACTTTAAAATATGAAGAGTAAAGTCAGCGTTCTAATTGGAGCTTGTGGAAATATTTTTTTTTATTTGATCGTTATCATTTGATAATCATAGGGGGAAAAAAAAAAGCAGCGAGGTACCCCGCTTGCCTGGAGAGTTTCAGTGCTGCTGCTTCATAGTCCTAGGGGTTTATGAGGGCGCTTTGCTTAGTGCTACTGAAGCAGCACTTGTATTTTACGAGTAGGTAGTGGCAGGCAGTTTTGTCTCTGGAATGCTGAATTAAGTGATTTTTTTTTTTTAATGCATTGAGAAAAAGTTAACTTGGAGGCCAAATGAAAAGTCAGTCCTTTAAAAACAAAAGCTAGAGGTCTCAAAAGATAGGGACCGTTTCGGAAGGCTTACTGTACTTGTGTGAACTGAATTGGGTCAATTCGGGGTCCTTCATTTCCTTATCGTGCACGTTATCATTTCGTACGGTGAAGTCAGTTATACCATTTGGTCTTCTGAAGGTACCTGGGAAGATTGTACCAGTATTGAGATCAAACAACTTAAGTTTCTTGAAAAAAGTAGATAACTTTACTTGACAACCTAAATGGACTTTTTCTTGCTCCCCCAAAGTTCAGTAGCTGCATTAACATGATATTAATGGAATCACTATTGGAATGAAGTAGATATACTTCAGTGTGAACTGGTAGGTGACACCTGAGATTTGATTTTGATGAAGTTGGGACTGTGCCTGCCTTTGATCATGGGGTATCTTCTTGGGTAACTGTTCCAAGTGGCATTTGCAGCCTGTAGGAGTTTTACTGAGTCGCCTTATTGCCTCTCTGTGTGACATCTATAAATTTAAATTCAGTGGAAAAAAAAATAATGTATGGACCTGCTCTCAGAATAGCTTTGCAGTTACAGTGATGAGAGTCTGTGTTCCTAGGTACTCACAAGAAGCATATGTTCCATTTTGAAATGCTGGTAACTTTAGTTGCCAGTAGCTTTTGGGAGGTGGACACGAGCGATTGTCTGTGTTGAACTGGTGCGAAGTCTATCGAAGCTGAGAGCTAGCCAGCTGGGTGGATCTTCTTCAGGGTAGCCTTTGTCTAAAGACATCGGCTGCTCTTCCCAAGTCTAGAAACTTGGGTGAGTGATCCTTTGTTACGGGTAGGCTGAATTCTGAACTGAAATGTCACTTAGTCTCACTGAGTTCTTAACCTCCAAACCAAGGAGGGGACAGTTATTTGTCCTTAATGCGTGTAAGAATATGCAATAACAGAAGACTTTAGTGATGGAAGTGCAGTTCTGTTGCCTGTGTTTAGCTGTGCTTGTCCAGCCAGATGACTTGGTTTTTAAGAATATGCCTGCTGGAAACAGTTCGATTCTGTCAGTAAGAATGTTCCTTTCCACAGTCTGTATACTGAAAACCTGTTCTTGAATTCTTGTAACTGTTTGCCACTGAGCAGGTCTCCTGGTAGACATGATGGAGACAATGCTACAAGCATGCATTGCCCACCAGGATGCTGCTGGTTCTGCCCCAGTTTCTGTATCATTTGAAAAGTCTGTTCTCTTAAAGGAAAAAAATATGTATATATATCAGTACCATTCATCAAGGATGTATTAAGCTTTAACCTAATAAGGTGTTTTCCTTGGATGTTTTCAGTGCTTGAAGGGACTTTAAATGCAACATTTCATTTTGGAATGGTGGGGAATTGATACCATTTCTGTGTGTTAACGTGTAATCTTGGAGTTGTGAAAGTTATGTAAGTTCTGGGTGAGCACTCCAAGTTGTCCTTCCCCGCCCCCCCCAACACCCCAAATAATGTTCCCTGGAGTGCTTTTCTCCTTTCAGCATTCAGCTGCTTCATTTGAAAAAAATCTGAACCATCTTTATTTGGATCTGTGTATGCCCGTATATTGACCCGGAGCCTTTCCACTGACAAGTGAACTCCACATGATTTAAGATCTAAAAACTTGTGAGAAACGAAGGGAAGTGGAACTTGGTGTTTGTGTTAATGCCAGACTTGTGAAATATTTCCTTTTATTTTGCAATTCTAAAGAGTGAATTTTTACATTTTGGAAACAGAGACCTTCTTCAAGTCAAAGATACTGTTTAGCATCTTCACTCTGAGCCCTTAGGGTGGATGCGTGAGTGTATTGAGATACTTTTACAGTTTGGCTGTTTACTTAAGAAGGTGTGTCTGTGAATACCAGGAGGACAGCAGTGTGATTGAGATCTAGAGTCTTTGTTTTCATTTGTAGAAAAACCTACAGAGAACCTGCCTGGTGTTCCTGCAGCCTTTTGAAAAGCAGATTTGCTTGTGGAGATGTTGCAGCCACTTGGTGCTTTGATGTATGGGTCCTTCATAAACTCAGAAGCAGTCAGCTGTCCCTACTCTCTGGCAGCCTGGAGCATCCTCAGTGCTGTCCCAGGCATGCTTGACCATACCATCTAATTTGGCGTTTGCGGGATGAGACCAACATTGTGAAGTACATGTGATTGAAAGTATCACAAAGTGTCTCCAGGAGTTCCTAGGAACCGGATGGTGGGCTCCCTCAGCTGACAGCTTGTCCTGTGTGTTAGAGCTGCTGGACCATGGCTGTGAAGGCCTCTGTCTTTTGAAGGCTGAGGGTGAAGTTTGGAGGGAGCTTCTAGTTCCACAGGGACAAGCGAACCTCCTGACTTTGCTGCTGTTGAACCTGGCCCAGTGCCTCCTGATGAGTTAGGTCCCTGTGTTCTGTCCACTGGCCGGGTGAATTGATGGGCAGGGAGAGATGAAGAGTAGCACCTGCTTTCCTGTGCTTTGCCGAGAGTCACCTGCTGCTTGCTCGCCTGGGAAATGGACGGTTGCAGTTCGTCCTTCTGAAAGAATCTGTCTTTGAGTGAACACATGAAGCTGCCCCAGCACTGTGCTAAGGATGGAGTGTT